TAATATGAATGGTGCATGGAATGAAGGTGTCAAAGTTATCGCCACATTGCATATGAATAAAGCTAGTGGAACTGCGCAACCTAATTCAAAACCAGCGTAATATATCACTTGTATACTATATTATTATAATATTAAATATTGATATCAAAATTATTTTAATAGTAGCAAATAATTAATTATTAGTAGTTATAATTAATAAGAATAACTTTTTATATATACACATTATTCTCAATATTGTTAGATCTTTTGGAAAACTATGTGTACCTCCTGATCAAAAATGGAAAGCAATATTTAAACAATGCTATCAACAACTTGGTGTATCTGAACCAGTCACCAAAAATTTTAATTATAATGAAAAATCTGTAGAAACGCAAAAAATATGGCAAAATGTTGCTAGTATAATAACAAAATCTCATCAGAAAACATTGCAACGAAAAAAGCTATCTACCAACACTTCAAATACAAAAGAAAGAAGTAGTGAAACTATCGATCAACTGGATAAGATACCAGGTTTTGGACGAGATAAACTCACTAGTCAGACTTATAATGAAGTTCACAAGTATTTAGTCAAAGCTTTTGAAAGCCCGCATCATCCATTGGGCGCTCTTTTAACGGAAATCGCTGCGGTATACACAGCTACTTATGGTGGAGTAAGAGTACATCCATTATTACTTAGCCATGCAGTATCAGAGCTTCACAGTGTTACAGCAAGAATATATGAGATTGTACTCCTTTTATTCCCTGCTCTTCCACGTTGTGGCAAAGAATATATTCTTGAAATTGATAGTGAAGAAGAGTATGTATTGTAAAATTTATAAAAATTATATTTAAGATTATCTCAAATTAGTAACGCATACACTTTCTAATTAAAAAATATTTAAATTAGAGTAATTAATAGAGAGTTTTTAATTTTAGGCAAGTCATAAGCGCTGCCACGATACTTCATCCAATATTACTGCCACGTGTACATTCAGCACTTTTTGTATTATATGCCTTACATAATAAAAAGGAGGATGATGCATACTGGGAAAGATTAATGAAATGGAATAAGCAGCCTGATATAACTCTGATGGCCTTCCTTGAAATTGATCAGTAAGTAGTAAAAATTTATATATAAATTATAAATTTATAATAATAAAACAAAATTGTCATACAAAGATACTTTAAAGATACTTTACTTTATTATACTAATTAATTTGTATTTAATTTTTACAATTATTTACATTTTCTTACGAAATTGCAGGAAATTTTGGAAAACTACAAATGTAATAAGCATTTCAGACAATTCGTTACCATATCAGCATGAACCATATTTCAGTGAGGCCATAGAAACTTTACAACAACTTAAAACGACTTTTTCACCTTTAGAAAAGCTACTAGTTGTCAGAAATACATTTGAACAAATGACACAAGTACGAATACATAAGCAATAATATTAATATTGCTATTTATGTAATGCGTTTAAATAAATTATTTATATTAAGATATTGCTCTATGTTTTTAACAATAGGCAGTACAAAAACAACTAGGGTCTACATATTTATGGACGATGGACGAACTATTTCCGGTATTTAGTTTTGTTGTAGTCCGTGCTAGTGTATTACAATTAGGAAGTGAAATACATTTTATCGAAGACTTCATGGAGCCGTACTTGCAAAATGGAGAACTTGGCATTATGTTCACTACTCTTAAGGTTAGACATGATTCTAATGTATAATATAAGAAAATAAGGATTATTTAAAAAATTTAATTAATTTTATTATAGGCATGTTATTATCAAATATTACAAGAAAAAACGAACATGGGCGATTAATGCAGTGTTCTCACAAATATATGGTACAATGAAATGATTAATATATGTGAATAATCAAGATATAGAACGTATATACATGAGAATAAAATTATACTCATGAAAACACAAAACAAGATAAAAATGGACATATAAAAAGTATGTATTTATATTATAATAAACAAAAGTGATAATTTGCATTTAGGATAAATAATATAGGCTTTAATATCATGATTATGTAAAAACCAAAATGTGTGATTTTTTATCTCAGATGAGATAAGAAATGACATAACATATCAGTTCGTTTTGTCATTATAAAGTGTATATAAGTTTACTATTGAAAAATAATTATTATTATTTAATTCGATGTTCTGCAAATAACGCTTACATATGAGTCATAGAAACTAAACTTCAGTACTTCCAGTTATCTGTTATTCAAGAATACCGCGCATTAAAAGCCATAGAAGTGCGTAGCTCAATATTGTGATAAGAAAAAAGTTGGAAGTTACCTTTATTTATATATATACTGTACATTTTTTCTTCTCTTCATTACAATGTTAACTTATAGAAACACTTAGAAAGCTTTTTAATATCTACATATGATTGCTTATCATACTTCCTAATTTGTAAATACACTTTTATAATTTTTAATACAAATTCTTTTTTGTACAATTTGCACAACATGTATGTTCATTTTAATATCACTTTCAAGAATCATATTTATTTAAAATTAAAAAAGAAATTATATATGTATATCATTAAAAGCCATAGAAGTGCGTAGTTTAATATTGTGATAAGAAAAGTTAATGATTACATTTATTTATATATTATACATTTTTTCTTTCATATATCATAACTTATAAAAAAACTTTTTAAGATCTGCATATGATTACACATAATTTCTAATTTATAAAAATATCACTTTTAATAGAAATTCTCTTTTATACTATTTGCGCACATCCATATTTATTTTAATATCATATTTTCAAGATTTATTATAATTTAAAAATTAATTATATATATGCCATAAATCTTAGAACTATTGTAATAAAAATGAATAAGAGAGGAAATGAATAAGGGAGGAAATTGCTACTCATTAAATAATTCAAATTGTTTCTAATATAATTCATATAAAGAGGAGGGTATATTCCTGTAATTTGCAAAAATACATGC